TGTGTGTGTGTGTGTGTGTGATCGCTGTGCCTTCAGAGTGTGCAGGGGATCTGCGGTCACTCAGGCAGTTTCATCAGCTCTTTTGGTGAAGTGTGTGTTTGTCCTCTGAATCTTTGTTGCTATAGCGAGCCAGCATTGTGTTGTGTGCGGCGGATGGGGACGCTAACTTCCGCACTCACAATAATAGAACTGATCTTCTTTTTCCTGTGTTACTGTACATTGTCCCAGGGAGTCTCCGGAAAGACGAAACCCTTATATACACTGGGACCTTAGTTGAACTGAAGTTCAGATCTAGTCTCTGAGTAGATGTTGTAACTTCTGTACTTTAGTAAAGTAGCTCTAAGAGGAGAAGGTTCTGAGTAGATGGTATCCTCAGGGAGATGCTTGAATTTATAGGCTTTTACTTGCAGTCTTGATTGGTCTGACTGCAGAGCTTTAGCAGGCGTCAATAGTTTAAGGCAATACAATTTACTCATCTAACACATGACTACTGCATTTACTGCCAGATGAACTGCAAGTTAGAGACCAGAATGGATAAGCAATCGTCCTGCATTTGAGTTTTTGAGTTAAAATCAAGACATGGATCTACATAGTGACTTTGATCTCTGTAAAAACTTGATTTCAACTAGTTTTAGTTTAGATTAACTGACCACTACTTAAAAGAAAAACTACATAAAATTACCAGAAGCATTGACTGGTGTGTCGTTCAAATGATGTTAGTCATTTGTATTTGACTAAAATCCTCTTCTCAGTCTCCCGGGTCTAAAATGACGTCGGCTCACTCCAGACTGCCTCGACTCTTTTTGGGAAATCTTCCCATAAAGTTTAGGAGTGACTTTATAGGACCTTTTGATTCTTTGACGTCAGACTCTGATGTTGAAGAAGGCCATGAGATTCCATGAAGCTGTCTCTGAACGTGAACTAATCTGGATCTATTTATTCCAGAATAGCTTATCCATTCATATCCAGACTGCTAAGTGTTGAATTTTTTAAATTTATGCTGAAGTGAAAACCCATCTTTTCTCCTTGGCATATGATGAAAGCGGAATATGAGACTCTGTTATTTCTAATAGTTCTAGGTGGTATCTCATTAACTTTATTTGTTTGTTGTCTCTCTTGTTTTAAGGCGCATTCACAGCAGTCTTGTTCAGTTCGCTTTAATCAAACTATAGTCCGGTCCGTTTTGGGGAGGTATGAATGCTCAATCCAACTCTGATGCAGAAGCACCACAGGCGAGGAGGTGAACAGGTTTTCCCATTAATTTGGATTGTTTGACACAGTGAAGTGTGAGTGCAAACTTAGTTTTATGTGAATAAATAGTGAAGCACTTTGGTCAACTTCAGCTGCTTTTAATGTCCTGTTGAAATAAATCCACACTGACACATCACTGCACTAGACTGAAGCCTAGACTCATCAGATGAAGTGCTTCGCATGTTCTCTTGTCTGGTGGCACATGTGAACACGTGGATTAATCATAGTTGAGTAAATGTGCTTAGGGAATAACAATATGTCTAACAAGCTGAACAGCATCCATGGAACAAAATGCACATAACTTATGTAAAATACAACACTTGATGCAGAGGCATCTGATGTTAAGGATCAGAACCTGATTTGGGCCAGATGTGATGCAGAGGATCAGCTAGTGAAGAAGGACAGCTGCATACGGCTTTACTTTGACTGTTTAGCTCATTCCTCTAATGATCTATTACAATGTTGCTTTGTTGTTGAGTTAACATGAAATGAAACCAAAACCACAAGTTCTGAAGCCACAAGAGTTTCCTATCTGTTCACAATTACCTTATAACAAGAAATATTTAACGGCAAGGGATGAATTTCTGTTCTTCATTAAAGGAAAAAAAAAAACAGGTTTGATCTGTTCCCAGAAGAACTAAAAGTGGTGTTTAGTTTCATAATGTCATGAATTTTATGATTACCTTTTGTCTGAGTTTTGTTTTTTGGTTCTTGTATTTTCAGCTATGTCTGTATTTTTCTTTAGTTAGCTGTTTTTGCAGTACATATTCAATTTAGTACCATATATGGAAGTGGCACAAATCTGTGGGGTGAAAAGATCAGAATCGGGCCGTTCAGAACGCCATGAAAAAGCTGCATTTACAGTTCCTGCTGTGTGAACAAATCTTGTTCGTATCAGAAGAGGTGAAGACACAACTTGTGCGACGGAGCAGTCGGTGTACAAAACCTTTACTATTTTAAAACCAAGACAAAATGATTTACAGTTCATTTCATAAATGACACATAGTATATATTAACTCTTCCTCAGTAGACAGAACCAATCAGCTTTCCTGTTAGCAGCTAAACATCTTGACTTGTTCCAAAAATTGACTTTGCTTTTCAAAACCTGTTTATATTTCTGCACTTCCTCAGACTTCACTGATATCAAGACTAACTAGTTTTGTGTCTTCCTCAGCAATGGCGCCTACATAAAAGAATAAAAATCTGATCTTTGGGTTTTGACCAGTTTTGCAGTGAGCTTAAACGTAGCTTTTAAGAGAAAATTAGCATATTTAAATCAAATTTCTGTAGAACGTTTAAGTGGACATCTGCCTCTCTGCTTATTTGCTACTGAGAATGAAAATTTAAACACGGTAAAGCTTCCTTCTGGCCTAAATTTCTATGTACCAAAACAAGAGAATAACTATGGATTTATATGTCAGCAGTAACAACATATCGGCTGGCACTCGTGATTTTTTTAAGCATATTCTATAAGTCTGACAAATCAAACTGATATTATCAACTGATACTTATTTCCATCTTGCTGCTGTTTGTTTCAGCAGGGTTGGTCATGTGACAGTGATAGAGATGCAGCAAAGGATTGTGGGGAGTTTAACTGAAACCGGGGAGCAGTAGTGAAGTCAGTGTTGTGGTAATTTTTTTTCAAGGTGTCGAGAGGTGAAATATATTTAATAGATAAAATATTGGTAAATACTGGTGATCAGCCATATCAGCTGCTTATCGGATATTGATGTCTGCTCAAAATTTCATGTCGCTGCATCCCGATAAGATCATCATATCCATATCTGCTTCTTCAATAGCATGATATGCTGCAATGCCTGATGACTTCACTGGGTCAACAGAAATAAAAATGCAGGAGTGACTTTTTATCTCACATCAACGTCTTGGTTGCATCAGCTCAGCAGTGTGTGCAACTCACGTCAACTACCTGTGGCCGGTAACACCAATAAGGTAATGAGCACATTCAACCAGGGACACAATTAAATGTCTCATCGAATCAGTTTTCACCAGCGCTCACTTCAATGCAGTCATCTGGCAGGATTACTGGAGCTCTGTGGGAGGGAGGGGAGGGCAGAGGAAGCGGTTCTGGGACGAAGCAGCCGCTTCCTGCCGTGTCTCGCTGAAACCAATGCAAGGGGCAGACGGTGGGAGGTGGAGGACGGCGGCTGCTGGAGCCACTCCAGTCACTGTGGCTTTGGCAAAGTTAGCACTGGGACAGATGGCCCGGCCGTCGCTGAACACACACCCTGTACACACAGACAGACATGGAGAAGCCCCTGACTGAGGACGACACATGAGCACGTGCACAGAGGGTGCAAAGAGAGGAAGGGGAGGGGGAGTGCTAGCGGATTAATGCACCGCCACCTACAGACAGAAAACGTGTGAATAAATACACACACAGACACACACTTAGTCTGCACCAAATTAGGGATGAGATTAAATGCCACATCAAATCTACTTTACTTCCCCAGGCCCCGTCCTGTGGGCCCCTCCTTTACAAAATGCAAAACATAAACAGCAACTGGGCTCACAGATTAGTTTTGTGTGCAGCGACAGGGCTGTTCTAAAACATGACTTTAGTCACCAAGTAATCAATCACCCTTATGACTAATCAAGTAATCACATAAAAATTGTCCTGTTCTGTTGTATAAAAGTATATATGAAAGAAAAAATGCTGATAATAAAATAATTCAGCTCCTTTTTTTTAATAAGACTTTATTGCTCAAAATGCAATGTGATTCAAACATCACTTTTAGTCTGAAGTCTAAAAAAAACTTTTATTAAATATATTGTTAATCTTTTTTACATTTGTTTTCATACTGTTACTCTTCTTGATCAGCAAATACATTTAATTTTAGCCTAAATGAATTTCCCTGCACATGTATAACATGCCAGACTCTGTGCTAACCTTGGCAGATAAACATGGAGGAGCATGGAGGACGTGCTGTAGTGAAACTACTGCTAATTGTTTCTTTCCAAGTTTGAGAAAACCTGGTGGTGAAGCTTACAAACCTGTCAGATGAAAATGACACGTACCACAGGGAGCACAAAGAACGTTGCTTAGCAGGAATGTGATATGACTGCGTCAGTCAGAGTGGGTGTCAGGAGAACTTTCCAAAAGTCTCTAATTTTCCTTTTCTTAAAACTTTTCAGTGAGTCAAATCTACCTTTAGAGGTTGAAGTACGTAGAGTTGTAATGCAGAAGGAGTCTTCTCTCTGCCCGAGCAGGCAGCTGCATTGGTTTATGAATTTTTAAAATGTGCCGGGATCGCAGTGAGAGCCCGTATCCAGGCGGAGGCAGCAAGGCGCGGTCTGAAATATGATGTTGTGAAGGTTCATATTGATTTTTATACAAAAGCTGGATGGCTCCAACTCTTACCCTGTGAAAATGAATAATTTAATTTCCAGCTTCACCACTACCTATGTTTTTCCAAGTATATCCCTCAAACTACACAGACATGGTAGTGACACAGTACAGTTTGTTTTGCTTTAAACGCTCTCTGTAAAAAATTGATGTGAATGTGAATATAATCCACAGAGTGTACAAGTAAATTAAACCTGTACACCAGAAGTATGCAGACCCAACCTCCTGTGACATTTCTTCAGATGCTTTTCCTGCTTGGCAACATGTAGCTCTGCTCAACATGTAGCGATGTCTGACGTTTAAGAGAGGAACCCTTAACCAGCATGACCAGATTGTATGACTGTCATTATATACCAACCTAAAAGTTCTGCTTGCAAGCAATTTTTGGTAGGATATTTTGAATGTGTTTGATTGTATTAATGCTCTCCTATCTGAATATTTTTTGTCCTGCTTTGTGGATTGTAGCAGTGACAAACACAGCTGGGGTACATCTTTAAAAGTTGAGATGCTATAGCTCACCGATAGACATTAGAAAAGAAAGCTAAAGTCAAGAAATGCAGGTTATCTATATCGGCTTTGCAATTTCTCGCAAAACTACCACAATTACATATGATTTGTCTTTCTTCTTACACAACACCAGCATCAATTCTTCCTTGTGTATGATCTTGTGTAACATACCATTTATTAGAATTACAGCTTCATTAATTCATACAGAGGAACTCTTAGAACATGGAAAGAGTTCTAGCAAAAGTAAAAAGATAATTTCTAACTGTAACCAGAGAATATATCTGTATAACCTTGATTAGTCAGGTTCACAATGACTCATTCACACACATGAGGTTTGATATGACACATTGTGAGATTCTGCTGTTGTCTAAGAGCTCTGATCAGCCAGTGGTTTAGTTTTAGATACAACAATGGGGGTTGTGCTATTTGTCACCAGTCAGCTGGAGGGAAACCCAGGGCCGAGTGTGAAGCTTTCTGTCCGACTGTCTGGGGAGAACCTCAGGGTAGTCCACCCACTGACGAGTTTATTCACCTATTCAATATGTCTCATTCAGAGGGGGAATCCCAGCAGGCCTAGACCTGATGAATCAAACTGAAGATCATGCAAATGCTGAGACATGAATTCATTTAAGCAACGGTGGAAGTAAGTAAATACATTCAGGAGGGGTTTAATACCAGGGCTACCTGAAACCTTTTTCAAAATCCAAAAAAATGATAAAAATCTGTTTTATTCAAGGTATTCCAAAAGAGTAAGCAGCCCTAATTACTCGCCTACATGAAAAGAAATGATGATTCATTTCTGTTCAGGTGTTTGTGTCTCATAATTTGAATGAATCAGATCTCCCATCACAAGATGTGAGGCACTCGAATTGAGGAGAAGCAGACAAACAAAAACACGAGATACGCAAATCTATACTGTCTCTATACTCACATTGCCAACACAACCTTCTCTACAAATCAGAAAAGTACCTATGCAAAGGACGATGGCTAAAATCCGCCAATATTTAAGTGGAGACCCCCTTCAACCCTTGTGTTTACAAATGGGTCCAACCGACGCCACACCCGTATCATTTGCCTCAGTCCTCAAACACACAAGGGTTACAACACGTATAACTGCTGTTTTTAATAGTTCACGCATGTTAACATCTGCCAATACACACAGTATTAATGGAACTGCCACAGAAACTAATATCTACAGTCTTCCTTATTTTAGTAAATTAGTGGCAAGGAAAACGTCTGGCTGCTTTGCCAAAGAAAGACAGTAGAGTGTAAAAAAAGAATTGTAACGATTTTCCCAAACTGCATTTTCCTTCAAATGTTTTAGGGACGCTCTTCAAAAAGAATATCTGAATACGCTCAATAAGAAGTTATGTTTTAGTGAAAATGTTGATTTTGTCACTCAAAGCGAACAATGATACACTAGATTATATTTTCTGTTAAGGTTTATTTGTCAGGTTAAAAGTAAATTTTGAAAGTAACTTTAAAGCAAGTATCAAAACTACTTTTCAATAAGCCCACGCTTCTGTAGGTTATTATTGATATGATGCAATATCTTTATCTTAAATGTTGGGTTTTCATTAGCGGTGTGCAAATGAAGAGAAATAAAAGTTTGAAAACATCCATTTTTGTGGAAACAATTTTCAAAAAATATTTTACGTCTTTGAATGTTACTGTAGGCAAACACTTTTTTATTTTATAATGGTTGAAAAAACATACAATAAATGTATCTTCCTGCTTCTCCAATGTCTCTATCCTCTTTTGGACAGGGGATTTTAGTGCTTTGGCAAAGACACTACAAAAGGCGCAGCCATAATACCTCCACACCAAAGCAATGCAAAAATGGTTATGATGACAAACAGGAGTGTCATGAAGCCGAGGTGACACATGAATGAGTTTCCTTTTTCTGTTAACAGAAATTTAAGCCTGGTTAAAATTTGTTAAACATGTTTACCTCTGACCTACAGCTGATATCAGTGAACTGATGAAATAGCAGAAACTAGTTCAATGTCAGCAGCTGCTCCTGTTTTCTGGGAACTCAGCACTGTTTGCTTTCCCTCAAAGTGAGAAAAAAAGTCACAAACATCATGAAACATTAACCTGAACAAAACTTCTAATCTTCTGAGTGTATGAAAATAAATGGCAGAAGTCATTGTGACTAAAGTGTCAGCACTGCAGTTTTTTTTATTATACAAATAATAAAAAAAAACACCTAATCACAGCTCAAAAACTTTTTATTGAAAAACTTTAGTTTTTTTTCTAAACCGGCATATTTCCATTTTTTTGTAAATCCAGTTTGCACAATTATATGGTCACATTAACTAGACTTTAATTCTTTGAGCATAAAACACCCAGGTGAACTTCAGACCTTATATTCTCATCACTCAGTGTTTCACAGCCAACAATGAGCTTTCAAATCGGCTGCAGTGAGGAATTTTTGCTTTGTTACAGACTGGAAGCCGATGTGAGTCCTTGTTCATGGGAGAATGAAACAACTTTTCTAAATTGGTCAAATAAGTTAAAACTTTCAGCAAGTTTGCATGTAGATTCTTTCTTGCTGCTCCACCACCGTTAGCATGAGATGCAGACTGGCCTCCTCAGTCAGCAGTGGGACTACCTTTCATTTCCTCCAGCCTCAGTGAGACATTTGAGTAGAGACAATGAGCCTATAATCTGATAGTGCTGTCTGTTTCCGGACAGAGCCTCAAATGGACTACAATACCATCCCCATGCTGAAGTGCACCAATAAATGATGGCAGCGATCGTCCTCTCCTATTTCAGGAAGGAGGCTAGTGACATTTATCTAACCTTGTACGATGCAGCCGTATGATGATGGTACATCAAATGCATGAATGAAAATAAATTAGATTCTTAAAATTTTGTAAAAGCGTTCCCATTAAGCTGAAACCATCTTCTGAATGCTGCTAATGTAGCAAAAGGCTCACAATCATCTGCACTTCAAAGGCACCCAGCTAAAAAAAAAAAAAGGAAATGATTCAATAATTCATGAGATAGCAACTCCACACCGCTTCAGAGTTCCCATGCTATATGCGGCTCATACAGATGAAACTGAGTTAGCATTCTGAACATTTTCCTTTTCCTCCTTCAAATCAGAAAATATATGGGGCCTAAGAGCTGAGCGATGTGTTTAGTTTGCTCCCAGCTGTGTCACAGGAGACAAAGTTTGCAGTTAAATATCGGCATTTATGACCTTTCACTGTGTTCAGATCCAGATCAGGAGATTAGTCTTTCTGCGTGTCAGTTTGGACAGCAGCTGGTATAAAAATAAATTCAACATAATCTACAAAGGAAGTGACAGTCTATTCATCAGAACGTTAGCAGGCAACAGATGCATGTTGATTTAACATAGAAACGGTTTTTTTTTCAAGATGATGCCCTAAAAGGTCCAGGTTGGCCCTTTGTTAGCGACAGCACTGTATCTGTTTTAATGTTCGAATACA